TTTTTTTTTTTTTTTTTTTTTTTTTGCGGAACTGGGGATTGAACTCAGATCCTTGCGTTTGCCAGTCAAGCGCTTATCCTACTGAGCCATCTCCCGGGCCCCTTTGGACTTTTAGTTAGAGTATTTAGTCTACCTATACTTAATATAACTGCTGACATATTTTGATATAAGTCTGTTATCCTGCTGGTGTTTTATTTTCTCACTTATATTCAATCCTTTTTCTCATATTACCCACTTTCTTTTAAATGTTCTCAGTAGGGCTGAGAAGATAGCTCAGCATTCTAAGCACCTGCCTGTCAAGTGTAAGGACCCGGATTCAATCCCTGGTACCACAAGTGCTCAGGAAGCTGAGACAGGAGGATCACTGCAAGTCTGAGCTGCATAATAAGACCATGTACCAAATAAATAAATAAAATATTTTTTAAAAATAAAACATAAAAATAAATAAATGACCTCAGTATTCTTTATTCAGTTCACCCATTTCTTAGCTTGTTATTTACATATTCTTTCATCTTTTACAAAAGATTACACAGTTTAAAGCATGCTTCCATTATTTTTTTTTTTTAAACTTAAGAGTTCTGTATTATGGGAAGTGAACAACACAAACATCCATTGTTTTATAGATTACATAAATTAAAGTCAAACAATACAAAATTTTTCAATATTGGAACTATACAATAAACTGACAAAGAGACCCACTAAAGCAACATTTCATTACTTTCAGGATCTAAACTGAAGTTCTAAGTCCGCATCTTGTACAGCAATTAACCACTAAGAAGAATATATGCAGTGTATTATTTGTTTAAACTGTCCTTCTGATATGATTTGAAACTGTCTCATTGCTATCTGTTTGTCAATAAAACTTTGGAAAAAAAATATTCTTCATGAAGAAAAAAAAATAATAAAATAAAACCATAAACTGAAGTTCTAAATTTTCAGACTTTGCCTGTTTTATATACAAGTATCTCCTATCCAGCTTACACATTTGACCAAATGAGTTAGCAAAGTAGCTTTATAGCAAAAGACTTTCCATCCACAACCACTGCCTTCAGGGCAATTGCCACTGCCGTGTTCGTGAGTCCCGCTGGCTCCTTGTGCACAACGTGCAACACGCTCATTATGTTGGCCTATAAGTCAAGCAGGCACTCCAAACATGGAACAGTTATGCACAGTTCATTAAAGTATGTTGGGTTTTGCCATCTAAAAAGTAACCAAAAAAGTAAGTCACCAACTCCAGTTGACTTTGATTCAGGAAAGCCACCTCAAGAATGTTTTCCACCACGTTCCTTTCCTAGTCTCATTCTCAGTCATTGACGGGAATTTTGTAGGCCACCATGCTGTTCGCTTTGTGGATTGTGGTAGTAAATGAACGGAGCCTGACTTCCGCAGAATTGGTAATGAACTGTGGTCCCGACTCTTCCCATTTTTCAGGTACAACCAAATGAACAAGCAACTTCGAGTAATGGAAGAAAACTCACCGTGGCCGTGATCTGCCTAATCACAGAACGAATTTTATCTTGGATTGCTTTCTGAGACTTTTCTCTGGGTGCACTATCATCTTTTGCAGTTTTGTCACATTCAATATCAAACTGCCATCTTTCAAGGACTTCACCACTTTCAATATTTGAGATGACAACCACAAGTTTCTGAACTGAACACTTGTACAGCCAATCTTTTAGTTGTTCCACCACATTATTTAGGTATTTTATAAGCTCAGGATCAGTGGTTACAAGCAAGGTGAGTCCGTATTTCTGCACTCGAGTGAAAGTTTCCGATGGATATATACCGCGCTGATATAAAATGCTGTTGATGTCAAACGAGAAGAACTCGGCCACGATTTCGGCGCTCCCGCGCAAGGTGATGCCCTGCTCCCGGGCGACCTGCTGCGTCATGGCTTGGCCCACAAAGCGAGGCGCGCGGGCCCACTGCACACAGCCACAGCCCCGACTCGCAAAGCGCTTCCCCGCCTAATGTTCAAAAATAACGACGCAGCGCGCCGCCGCCGGGCCCCCTGCGCATGCGCGCCCAGCCGCTAAGGCCCGCCCCTCGCTTCCATTATTTTTGAAGGCTTAATACAAATCAGTTGTCATTTTCTGCAAAAGGAACTTAGAATAATTTAACTTCACTAACTTCTTCAGACTTACGTGCTCGCTTTATCATCTGTTCTATTGTCTATATATTTTATTTTTTTAATTTATTTTGTGTGTGTGTGTGTGTGTGTGTGGCCAGCTCAGCCCACCAGGGGGCGGGGCTGGCTGGCATGTGGTGCTGGGGGATTGAACCGCAGTCTCTGTGTTTTGCTAAGCTTGTTCTAAGTAGGTGCTTTAGACCACTGAGCCATCTCACCAGCACCTGTCTATATATTTTAAATTGCACAAGAAAGAATTATTTCATACAGCTGATATTCATTTACACTGTTTTTTTGGGGTTTTTTTTTGCGGAACCGGGGATTGAACTCAGGTCCTTGCGCTTGCCAGGCCAAGTGCTTATTCCACTGAGCTATCTCCCCGGCCCCTCATTTACACTTAACTATGCATTATTTCTATTACTTTTCATGGCATTCTGAAACTCTGAGATTTGATCCAGGATAGTTTTCCTTCTACTCAATGATATACTCTAGTGAATTTTTTTTTTTTTTTTTTTTTTTTTTTTTTCTGTATTTTTAGGGAAGGATTTACAGGGTGTTCAGGGTCTCAGTACTAGATCGGGCTCGTAGTGATCCACTTGTTTACAGCCTCCCAAGAGCTGGGATTGCAGGGTGTGGTGTGCATCACCACACCCAGTCTCAATATTTTCTTTAGTCCAGCTCAACTGGTAACTTTCTAACAACTTTGACTTTTCATTTTTGAGCAATCTTTCTGGCAGATCGAGATTTTAAAGTAGGCAGTGATTTTTTCCTACAGTTTGAAGACAGCATTCCATTTCTTTCTGATTTCTACCATTTCTGTTGGAGAGCTGGCTTTCAATCTTATTGCTGCTCCTTTAAGAACAAAGTGGGGTCCACTCCCCTAACTTTAACTGCTTTTCAGCTTTTCTGTGATTTTGCATCTAGAAATGTTCCCACGCCCAAGTATTTTTTAACTTATTCTGAGTGGTATTCTAGGGATGTGTGATGCAATAGCTTTGCGTCATTTGTCAGCTTGGGGACAATCTTAGTCATTTTTTTCTGTCAGTTCTTCTGTCCCGTTTTCTCATATTGAAAATGTAATTACATATATATTGGGTACTTCTACGGTATTTCATTTTTCACGGTCTTGTACTTATTTTCCAACCTTTTGTTTCTTCATGCTTTATTACTGCAAGACTTCATTGAGCTATGCCACTACCTTATCCTTTATATTTGCTGTTTTCTTCTTCTCTATCTTCTAGTTCACTAATGTTCTCCAAGCATATTTATTCTTTTGAACTCATTCATTTTTATTTTATTTTTTAATTTTAATTCATTT